CGCATCAAACACACTATCCAAACACAGGCATAGGGTTAGCTGCCATGGGATCATCGCCTTTTATCTGATTAAGTTTACTTTGTAATTAAGATTAAGGAAACATTTAGTCATTTAAATCAAGCATATATAACAACAAAAGGTAATTCTCCAAAGCATTCAGCGAAGCGGAATAAATATAGATGTCACTCTTATTCAGATTTATTTTAATCTCTGTCTTATTCAGCATCCACTTTACATTTGTTTTGATATATATTGTGTGGTTATAACATGGCACATATATATATATATATATATATATATATATATATATATATATATATATATATATATATATATATATATATATATACATATATTGGTTTGTTTTGTTTTTTTCTAGTGGATTCAGATNATATATATATATATATATATATATATATATATATATATATATATATATATAAACATCTTTTGGTTTGTTTTGTTTTTTTCTAGTGGATTCAGATGTGTAGGCTTGTTTGTTCTGCTGCCTCAGGGAACCCTTTAAAGCCCTTTGATGTGTGTTTTGCAGTTGATCTCATACTCCTCGGTCGGCTCCAGACAGCTGAAGACTCTCACCAGGAGAATATATGAAAGCAATGTGGCCTAGACCAAGAGAGAGAGCTGCTCTGATGTAGCCCAAATGTCCAGAGGGAGTTTTAATTCCTAAAGCAACACATGGAACAAACTATGTAAGCATGGGTTTAGATTCCACTGGGTCAGAGACTTTGAAAATGGTGAATTTGAGCCTTTAGAAATTGTTAAAGACCTTAAAGTTTGTGGGGGTTTTGTTTAAGGTAACAATACTTTCAGTTTGTATATAAGTAGGTCTAAAATTACAAAGGACATTTTGACTATTCACTGTAACTAAAAGCACATGTTTAAAGTCCAATATTTTCTTTTGTTATAAAAAGTAAAATAAACATCCTTCCCTCTTTTTTAACTCTTAGGTTACCAGAGGGGTAAACCTGAATCACTTGTTTTAATTATTTTAGACTTAACATAATCAAATCACAAGGAATCTGGGACTCAATGCTATTGACTCATGACTTCTCTTAGTCTTGAACCTGTTGGCTTGATTCACTCAATATCTGCCAACAAACAGTTTTTTTTTTTTTTTTTTTTGCAAACTATACAGAATTCTTAGATTTGGTAAATACTATTTGTGAAAGCCATTTGGAGAAAAAATTAACCAAAGCTACAGTAATCTAATAATTAATGTTTAGGTAATGTAAGCATAATGCCTAGGTCAGAGACAACATCTGGAAACACTGCAGATTATAGAAATAAAATACAAGGAGAACTTATTTATGTGATGAAAAACAAATAAGCACTGCAGATCTCATCTGAATATGTAGGAAGGATTCAAACTTGAGTTTTTAGATTTTAAGTCTCTGCTTTTGCTCTGCTGTGTTTTGTTTTTGTTGTTTGAGTTAACATATGGAAATATTTATATTTTCTATTTAGAACAACTAGAGTTACCACTTGAGACAAGTCCCATAAACAGTGTTTCAACAGAAGGTGCCTAGACCTCTTACTGCAAGGTAGTATGGGGACAAAACATTTTCTTTTATTTAATTATCTAAACCTATTTTGCTACCTCCCATTAAAAAAAAACAACTAAAAGATATTATAGATACATGTGAGATAAATTGAGAAAATGTGCCTCAACCACCAGATATTTCCTTTGATTAAAGGTTTCATGACAAATGAACTGTTGACTGATGGAAAACAGCATGTATTTTATGGAAAGATCCTGTCATGAGTTTGCACTTTGCTGAATCTGGCAGGTGAAATGATCCTGTAAACCTCACATATTTAGCTTGTTGTCACGCTGTACTCTGCAGGATTAAATAAAACTGTGGAATGTCTCTGTGTGGTGTTGTGTGTTCTGCTGAAACTCAGTGCTGCACAGTGCTGTGCACAGAGCTACGCTTTCCTGTCATCTTTTAAAGAGGTTATGATGAACACTTCTCTGGTCTTTTAAGAAGGTCTTTCCAAGTTTGTCTTGGATGCTGGAAAAAGCAATAAAAGTCCAAAGGAAAGATTCAGAGAGTCTGTGGAAAAAGTAATCTAGACCACTGGTGATCACAAAGAATAAGCTATTATATATTCACAAAGTACCCTAAATAAAGGTTGAAAAGCTTGTTAACTATGATTTGAGCCGTTAGCTGTCCATTGCCCACTGGAGGGCCCTAGAGGCTTATGAAGCCATGAATAACTCTTTCTAAATAAGGCCAGCCAGCCAAATTCTTTCTGACTAAAATGGGTGATAAACATTTAGTTAACATTCCCAGAGATATATTTCTAAATTCTGTCAGCTACGGTCATCTAAATTGCTGAAAACCCTTAAACTAATATTATAACTATAACCACACCGTCCTTCTAATGAAAAATTGCAATGGTCATCATGATATGGGGAAGATTTTCTTTAGAAGACGCTGATCAAAGTTGAAGGTAAGATGGAAGGATTTAAATACAGAAAAATCCTAGAAGAAAACCTGTTAGAGGATGCAAAAGCTGCTGTTCATCACTCTGTAGGACAAGAACTATAAAGCTAAGATTGAATGGTTTAAGTCGAGTCCAGTCCTTGAGAGCTTACATCAACAACATCTACATACATTTCCCTTCTCTACACCTGAATCAAATGAATATCAAATTCAGCATTTTGATTTAGGTTTTTTACAGCCGGGATACAAGATAGCAGATCTAGGAAATTGGATCAAAGCACGTTCTTACATTTTAACAATCCAGTTAAATTCCAGCCCTAAAAATATATTTGATCAGGTTTAAACCTCACAGGAGCTTCCCATTCAATCTATAGGGTAGACTTGCAGCTGAAATTACAATAAAATGTGATCTAATAAAAGCATTGCATTCCCTTCTTAGCATTGGACTTACACACAAGGGCCAGTAAACTGCAATGTGACAAAAAATGTCAGTTTAAGAATAGTAAATGACATGGCTTTTTAATTAAAAATTTACTTGTGTGCAATTAAGGAATAAACAATATCAAAGGAAAATAAGAGTTTTTTTGCTTTTTATCTTTGGCTAAATAGACTAGACCCATGGTTTGGTTTATTACCACAGACTTAATGACACAACAAGGCTTGAACTCCCTCAGACAAATATAGTCTAGGGGATAAATATATCTGCTGATATTTTTACCTCCAATTGGTTTCACCGTTACTTTTTTTTCTACTTTTGCTGCCATCTAGTGGTGAATAGTTTTATTACTCTTGTATAAAATGTAGTTTGGTGTGTAAAATGAATTATAATCAGGGGTATTTCGATGTAAATGTACTGTTAATGCAGTTAAATGCATTGTATTTACCTTTGGGTAATTATTTCATGGCGATTACCATTCAAGGACTAAAAAAACTACTTTACCCATAATGCAGTTGGAAGTGTAAACAGGAAGCGTGTATTTTACCCGGTGTTTATCGTCTGAATGGGATTTTTTTTTAAACGTGAGTAAAACCCAGAAGCCTATTCCTTATTATTTGTCCATCTCTATTGCTAATCCTAAAGTATAAACTCTATCTTGGATGTGTACCTGGGCTAATTTGCAAAAATAATCCTGTCATATTCATGTTACCGTCATGTTTGCTAATACAAGCACTTGGCAAATATAAGCAAAAGAAAACCTCGTATAAGAAAAGGCGCGTTCGTTTCTCCCTGTAAATGAAAAGAAAATATCTTTTTTGCTGTTTTTCAATTTGTCGTTGTAGGAAAGAAAACGTTATGGAGCGGTTACCAATGGAGACAAGAGACGCCTGAACAGATTTAGCTGTTAGCTTTTTTCAAATCCGCAACTAGGCGAGACTCAATATGGTGAGTTAACATTGTTAATGTGAAATACTAATTTGAAACTATAAAATCTATCTATCATTTATCCATCCAT